CAGCCCCGCTGCACGAGGCATGAAGCGGGGTTGGTGGAAAATAGTTAATTGCTTGGAAAGCTCTAATTCGTGCAAAGTATTAATATAGTAACCTTTCTGATACAAGCGCATACTTTTACAGGGACGTGCTGCTGAACAGCACGGTCGATTGCACTTTTTCAACTGCGCTGGACGTAGTCAAATGCTGTTCGCATAGACGGTGAATAATTGAAGTAAAGCGCTAAAGACATTAAATCGTCCTGCAACGCATCTGTTAAAGCCACATCGTGCATGAGCAAATTTTCATTTGGTGGTGTATTCGTCCAATTCGTTCGGGTATCAAGGAGTCGGATGAGCACAACAATGAACGGAATTTGCGCGCAGTGCTCAAGTGTATGTTCTTTGATTTTCTATTCACCAACATCAAGAATTATGGCTTAGGCGCCGACAATATTCGTTTCTGCGATGCTTATAGTCCGCGGCAATTTCAGCTAAGATCAAAGCCATCATTGCTATGAACCTCTGACCTAAAGCGTGTCGAGGAACGTGGCTCTGCCTTGATAATTCCTATCGCAAATTAAATGACATTGCATAGCCCCTGGCCAGTCCTCTTAAGAACATGTTCAGAGTGCAAATCATCAAGTCCGTGTAATAAAGCCCCATGGTTGACTCAATCGGTTTATTCGAATCCGGAAGGTGAATTTCACGTCGCCTGTGACACTTTAGCCATTGATACCTTTGCCATTCATTGCGGATAATTCTAATCGAGCGCAAATCGGAATGAACGCGTAATTAAATATTGGTCTTGCCATCTTAACGCGTCACATAAGAAGTATGAGCTCTCAACAAAATCTGCTTGTAATGAAGTATGCTCTCGTCAAGTTCAAGGTACATCTGCGTGGCTCTAAGCCGATTGTATCGTACATAGATCATGTTACGTTGCGCACAGCAACTTCGTCACCGCATATCTCGCGTATAATGTCAGGGTGATTAGCCTACCCTGTCAAGTATACCTCTGTGGTAAGTTATAAGCTATGTCGGCTTAATGTGGCGGCGAGTGCGCTTTCGTGTCGCCATGAAAATGCGTTGTCGAATGTCACAATGATAATAATGAAGCGATACGTATGGCGTACTGGTCAGACGTAGCATGTGCTACGCAGCTTAATGCTGTAATATGCAAATGATTGAGAGTTCAAATGTCGCTTTATCAAAGTGCACGCTCGCACTATGTCTTATCCCCAGGCTTGCTGTTCTTACAGCACTAATATTCAGTGAGTGCTTATCAAGAAATATTGCTGTACAAGACACGATTTACCCCAACCCAGAAGGATTAGCATTCTGTTCAGTAAGCCTATGTATTGGTCGCCCGGTATATGTGAGTGGGTAAGCACATATGTAAACGTATGACATTATTTCAGCAGTTATGAATTATATCAACAAGTTAAACAATCTCTGAATGCGGTGGCGCCTTAATTAAATAGTCGGTCCTGGTGGAGCACTAGTACTCCATCGGTATAGACAAATTTTCGGCTTTCTTCGAAGATGCGTTCGGTAATACAGGTATCTTCTCTTCTGAGCAAGATGGCCTACTTTCTGCTATCCAGGATAACATGACTGGTGAGGGTCAAGCCAGGCTGTTTCGCGGCAAAGTATTTCGCTGACATGAATTGTCGGTAGCCAATAAATACGCAACGGGGTAATACGTAGCCTGGTAACAGGGCTGTGTGTCGCACGAGATGAGCATGGTGTGACTGCACCCAAACAAGGATACGGTATGTGGTTAGGTACAGTAGTTATGCATGTATTTAGGTTTTACTATATATATTTAGTATATTGAGGAAGATCCAAACTCTTTAAATAAGGATAAAAGTAAATCAAAATCAGTTTGGTATTAAAGCGAAGAGCCAATTAGCCTAAGGAAGGCAATAATTATTCTTGGAGTAAGCGGATTGCGACTCGCTAACTCATACTTGGTTCTTATAATCAATGAAAGGTCGGTGACCTAAAGTACGTTTCCTCAAAAATTTTTGCTACGGCAGCCCAGCTGCTTTGGTAGCACTTGTAGTCAATCTACACCTGAGTCGTTTAAAGTGATCCCCTGCGAGGATGAAACAATTTTCCTCTTTGCCCAAGGGCATGCAGGACGAGCTTAACAAGCTGATGTCCTTGCTTGGCCCTGAGGACGTGCAACACCTTGTAACACAAGGCCCCGAGGCAATCGGTGCGCGTCTAGTGGCGTTTTCGACTTACGAAAACGCGCTGCTAAAGCACTTGCTGCAGAAGATGTCTGTATCGTTTACATCTATGACGCCATCGTCAGTAACGGATGACCTCCCCCGACATAAGTCGCTCATGGTGAACGTTAAGGTCTTTGAGGGAATGATAGAGAGAATCTCCTACTTTGGGTGAGAGAGATCGAGATGGCCATCGCATCCGCCATGCTCCAAACCGAGCAACAGCGCGTGGCGTTAGCCATCTCCAAGCTCGGTGGTCGAGCGCGAGAATAAGCACTGACGTGCGGCACTTCGGTGCGTTTCTCTCCTGGGTGGAGCTGAAATTGCAGATCTTTCGAGAGTGTTCGCCGCCTAATCTGGCGTATCGCGTGATCGCGTTTCCTTGCCGCCCGATAGGGCAACAAGAAATTGATGGACTTTGTCCAAGAGATGCGAAATCTCATTGCCTGGATGGCAGCAGATTCCCTCCCGAAGGCGGTCACAGTGACCATGTTTATGGAAGGCCTTCGCACTGGTGTGGCCAGAATGGAAGTCTTCCGTGTGTATTCGACCTCATTTGAAGAGGTGGTGAATGTGGCATTAAATGCCGATTTCTATTTCAAGTCGGCATGACTTGGTTGGAATGCAAATTCCAACC